AAAGAATGGAGCTTTTTGAGTGTTTTTTTTTTTTTTAACTTTAGTAAATGAGTTCAGACTTCACTGATGATCTGAGTTTAATTATTCCTTTGTGCTTTTTCACTACAATCACATATAACCCGTAATTTGTAACCTTCTTTGCTGGTCAGTTCTTGTTATTTTTTTTCTCCTTGATGAGGACCTTTATTTCATGAAGGGTTGAATGAGTTCTGCATTCAGGTGGATAGACGCCCTTCACAGATGCCCAAATGATGTTACTAGGGCAACTACTCAACTCCTATCAGGTAGCCATCTAGGCTTCTCAATGCTACTGCCTGTTTTAAAAAATTTTTTCTTTGGTTTTATTTATTTCTGAGAGAGAGAAAGAAAGAACATGAACAGGGCAGGGTCAGAGAGAGAGGGAGACACAGAATCTGAAACTGTTTCCAGGCTCCAAGCTAGCTGTCAGCACAGAGCCCGATGTGGGGCTCAGACCCACAAACCATGAGATCATGACCTGAGCCAAAGTCGGATGTTTAACCGACAGAGCCACCCAGGTGCCCCAATGCTACTGCCTTCTTAGCCCTATCCTGGGAAGGGTAGCTGGAGAAAGTATGCCTAGCTGGGTGCTTGGGAGATTTTCTTCACTGGCTTTTCAAGTTAATGATATGCATCACAGGCTATTTGGTGGAAGTAAGTTGGCATAAAATAGTATTTGTGAGTCGAGGATATATACTTTTGCCCAACTCACTGTTTAACTACCTCATGGTGCTACTCCTGACAAAAAGCAAAAATCTGTTAAATATTAGCTGAATCATTTGGGATGATACAGAGCAAATTAAGTGAGATACTTCCTAGCTTCTCCCCAATGCAGAGTGAGGATCCATTCCTAGCTCTATATTTTTTAAATGTCTTTTTAACATTTTTATTTATTATTGAGAGACAGAGAGAGACAGGACATGAGCATGGGAGGATCAGAGAGAAGGGGAGACACAGAATCTGAAGGAGGCTCCAGGGTCTGAGATTTCAGCACAGAGCCCAATGCGGGGCTTGAACTCACAAACCATGAGATCATGACCTGAGCTGAAGTTGGACGCTTAACTGACTGAGCCACCCAAGCACCCCTCTAGCTCCATATTTCACTAGGTGTGTAACTTCGAGTGAACCATTTTACCTGGCAAATGAGGGATAAATGTGCATTGCTTGTGGGTAGGCTTTGGATGGTGAGAAGGGGAAGGAGGGAAGCAGGTGTGTAGACATGTGGCTCTGACTACCCTCCTTCTTCTAAGACTAAATGTTTCTGTCTTAGATTTTATAGATCCCTACATTGTCCAAGTTGCCTGATGACACTTTTTTTTTGGTTTTCTTTTCCTGTTTGATTTATTCAATGTTCCTGTAATTCATAGGGAATGACAGTTCTATTTGGATTTCCCTGGCAAGCAGAGAGGTAAGGCCATGCACTAATGTGAAGGCCTACAGCCTAACACATGCCAGTTGGAAAGTATTGCAACTGATTCCATTAGAATGTTTTTCTCTGGGAGGGTCACCAACTAACCTTCAAGGTCAGACACTCTTTAAATTTAATTTAATTTTTTTTAGAGAGACAGTGAGAGTGTGAGTTGAGGAGAGGGGCAGAGCGAGAGAGAGAATCTTAAGCAGGCTCAGCGCAGAGCCCAACAAGGGGCCCAATCCCACGATCCTAGGATCATGACCTGAGTTGAAATGAAGAGTCAGATGCTCGGGGCACTTCGGTGGCTCAGTTGATTAAGCATCTGACTTCAGCTGAGGTCATAATCTCATGGTCCGTGAGTTTGAGCCCCATGTCCTGCTCTGTGCTGACAGCTCAGAGACCGGAGCCTGCTTCTTATTCTGGGTCTCTCTCTCTCTGACCTACCCCACTCATGCTCTGTCTCTCAAAAATAAATAAACATTAAAAACAAAAGGGTTCGACACTCAACTTACTTAGCTTATGCTAAGTTTATTCCAAGAATAATTTACTGAGAATGTGGACTATTCATGTGGCTTTCACAGGCCTCTGTTTCTACCTTTATAATACAATCTCCAAGATTCCGTTCACTTCTGATCCTGTTTAATGCTCCAACATTTCTCTGTGACATAATAAAATGTGGTAAAGTATAAAAAGGCGCTCAGAAATCCTCTTTTAAATTATGCACAAAGAAGACCTAGGTCCAGACAGAACATTTGAAGGAGAAAATGAGGCTGTGCACTAGAATTGAGTAGGACTAGTCTTCATCAACCTAGACCTTCTTTGCTGATCACTCAAGATGTCATTGTGAGCCTTCTTCTTGTATGTTGTGATTGTCCAAGGCAGAAAATAACTTGGTGACGATTCTTCTTACTTACCAGGTGTTAAATATATTTTTAGTGCAGTGTTTGGCCAAAGAAAGGTCAAATTAGTCCCTTGATTCTGACTGCACATTAGAATCATTTGGGTGTTTTTATTTTTAAATATTTTTACTTATTTCTAGGAGAGAGAGAGACAGCGTGAGCAGGGGAGGGTCAGAGAGAGAGGGAGACACAGACTCCGAAACAGGCTCCAGGCTCTGAGCTGGCAGTCAGCACAGAGCCCGACGCGGGGCTCGAACCCACGAACCGCGCGATCATAACCTAAGCGAAAGTTGGATGCTTAACTGACTAAGCCACCCAGGCGCCCCAAGAATCATTTGGGTTTTAAGGGAATACTGGCACCTGACCCCTCCCCCCATTCCCTTTCCCCCAACCCCAAGATACTGATGGAATTGGCGTGAGATGGAGTTTGGAAATCGGCATTTTGGGAAAAGCTTTCTTAGTGGTTCTGGTATGTAGCCAGTGTTTAGAACTCCTGGGTAGAGTCACTGAAGGTTTATGAGACTTATAACCCTAATAAGGATATGGACAAAGCATGTCTCTAGATGTGTACACCCAGAAGGGTAAGAGAAATAGAAAGGACATAGGTCATTTAGCCTTTCTAATCCTGTAGGCTCTAAGATAGGAACAATATAATATTTGGCTGAAATGCAGTGGTTCTCAATGTGTGGTCCCAGACCAGTAGCATCAGCATCACCTGGGAGTTAATAGAAAGGCAAATTCTCAGGGGCACCCAGGTGACTCAGTCAGTTGATCATCCGACTTGATTTGGGCTCAGGTCATGATCTCATGGTTTGTGAGTTCGAGATCTGCATCTGGCTCTGTGCTGACAGTGCAGAGCCTGCTTGGGATTTTCTGTCTCCTTCTCTCTCTGCCCTTTCCCCACTTGCACACACATGCTCTCTCGCTCTCTCTCTCTCGCTCTCTCTCGCTCTCTCTCTCACACACACAAATAAATAAATATTTAAAAAATAAAAGCAAATTTTCAAGCCCCACCCTAGACCTACTAAATCAGGAACTCTGGGGGTGGAACACAGCCATCCGCGTTTAGTCAGACCTTTCCAAGTTCCTGATGACCTCTAAAGTTTGAGAACCATCAGCACTGAGGGTTGTAGGACGAATAGATATATGGAAATCTTAGCACAGCGTTTGGTGCCTAGTGGGAGTCCAAAAACACAGAGTACTCTAAATACAGTGTATTTTACTGCTTGGTAGTCTGAATGTGGCTGGAAGCTAGACTGGACAGCTACCCTTACAACTCTAGGACTGTTATTTATAAGGCAAATAGGGGCCAGAGGAACCATCAGAACAACAAATCAAGGTGTATCAGAACAATGAATCCAAGCAGCCATCCTTCAACTGTGCAATTTAGATTCTTTTTTTTTTTTTCTTTTGGAGGCTTACATCATGATATTTTGGTACTATCCAAAAGCAAGTAATTGAGTGACAGAAATGGCTGCCTTACCACCAAGGTGCTCAATTGAGCAACTGAAATGCATGGAAAAGCTACTCATCCATGAATATTATTATTATTATTATCTGAAATCTTATTTTTAAAAAGAAAAAAAACCACAAATAGAGATTTTTTTAATGGAAGTTTCTATTTCTAATAGAATTTCCTGCAATGTATTTTTAAAACATTTCCATACCATGAAGCTCTAGAGCTCTTAGGTTTATGTCTGTACCTCGAACCTTAGAGATGAGGTGCTTTCTTCCAGCAACATGGCACCTTTACGCTGTTCTGGTTGGGCAATGATGTTGACCTTTCTTGATATGCTCACTTCTCTTAACTTCCTTCCTGGATTGTATATAGATTTTGATATTGGATGTTTCTTATTCCCGATTCTCCTAATCTGCCCTGCATGTACCTTTAGATTAGTCTTTAGTAAATCATATTGCAAACAAGTTTTTTCTTCTCAGAAATGCTTGATGACTCCCCACCACAAGCATGATAAAACTCCAACTACTTAACTACATTTGCAACACACTTAAAAGTGTTGTGGGTTTTTTGTCAATGCACTTAGTTTTGTTATGCACTAGTATTCTTTTACATCGCTATACATATGCTGTATTATAACTCGCTCCTTATTCTCTAGGCCCTGGATGCTTTAATCTATGCCTTTGTGCCACCAGTGGGCTTGTAGGTCACTGTGAACTGCTGCTCAGGGAACATTTAAATGTTCTGGTGAAAGCCTTCCTTGCTCTACCTGAACATAAGCTTTCCTTTTTCTTAGCTTCCAGAAGAGTTTGTTTCTCCATCTTCATCAATTATTATCTTCTTTTACCTTCATCTGTGTACAGTTTTTTCCTCCTCTGCTTGATTAAAACTTTCCTGAGGGTTTAAGTACCGAGTTTTCCCCACCTCCGCCATTCACCACCCTGAATGCCTTCCCTGTTAGAGCTAAACATCTCCTCTTCCTCCTCTAGACTAGCTTTTATTGCACTTCTAAGTATCAATTTCAGGCCTCACTCTCAAAATTAAGGCTACTAATTAAACTGAAGAGACCTGTAGTAGGGACTAATTGCCAATGGGATAGAATGAGGATGCATGAGAGCCAACTAAAAAGCAGTAAAATGCCAGCAAATACGTGGCTTTTAAGAGCACTATGAAATCGCATCTATGTTAACTTCGTGTGTGCATTTCCTTTCTGTAGGTGATTTTCTTCCACCCCCACCTCCACCTCTAGAGGATCCTGGTGCTCTTCCATCTGTCTCTGGAAGCTTCCCTCCTCCACCACCCCTTGATGAAGGTGCTTTCAGGACACAGGTAAGATCTGTGGTGGAAGTCATATTAATAAGCCACGCTAGGAAACCCATGAATCCAGCGATTGTTTCTGCGGTGGATAAACATTTATCCAGAGCCTAACGAGAGCTTTACAACTCACAAAGAGCTAAGGTGCTTTCATGTAACCCGCCCCACTGAAGCTTTGCAGAGTTCTGCTGGCTTGCATTCTGAAGCCCTGGAAATCCTTTCACCTACCAATTTTGTTCTGAAACTGAAGACCATTTTTTTTTTTGGAATGTCATTTGAGAATCCCACATTTTCTTATTCTCCCAAGGACCTGTGCTTTTCTATTGCCTTCTTTCTCTATCCATAAACATTGCATTCTGTATGAGGAAGAGTGATATTTTAAGGCTCTGGTTGGTCTCTGTGGGTCCTAATTGGCCAGCAACATCTTTCTAGCAGAAGTGCCAGCAAACATTCTTGGGGTATTCTTTTCTGAGTGGGGTCAAGTGGGTTCAAGGAGGCACATTATAGGAGGTATTGATCTTTTTACAAGTGCTATGCTCCAGGGAGTGCTGATCACCAGCAACCCAGTGCTGGAATCAGAAACAACAGTGGAAGGTGTTCTTAGCCTGTAATCATGTAGAGACCCTGGTGACCAGATGCCACCATGTAGGCAGCTACAAGATGTTCAGATCAGGAGGGAAAACTAAAGAGCAAAGTTATAGAATTATTGTTGTCTTTGAGGGTTGATGATGCTATTATAGATACATAGAAGTGAAAAAAAAAAAAAACCCACAGCCCTTATCTTTTAGAGAAATATCCAAAATATTTGGGGAGGAAATTGATGGTGTCTGGTATTTGCTTCAAAATAATAAGAGTAGGGAGCTACTGAGTGAGAAAATAGGTGAAAGAAAGATTAGTGAAGAGTTGATCATTGTTGAGTGCATGGAGGTTGATTATATTTAGTCTACCTTTATTTATATATGTTTACAATTTCCCATAGTAAGTTTAAAAATTTTTTTAATGTTTGTTTAATTTTTGAGAGAGGAAGAGAGAGAGCAAGCGGGCAATTGGGAGAGGGGCAGAGAGAGAGGGAGACACAGAATCAGAAACAAGCTCCAGGCTCTGAGCTGTCAGCACAGAGCCTGGCACAGGGCTTGAACCCACGGACCATGAGATCATGACCTAAGCCAAAGTCAGATGCTCAACTGACTGGAGCCACCCAAGTGGCCCTCTCATAATAAGTTTTAAAGAAGAAAGGCCATGGGAAATAACTGTTTAAATGCTTCAGTCCATTGCCTGGCTTTCATTCTCCTAAATCTCAGGTTGGGAGAGACAAAGGAAGAAATGATTCATTCATTCAGCAAATGTTCCATGTGCCTGTGTGCAGATGCTTTATAGTACTAGAATTCTATTGAGAAAAAGACAGACAGGGTCCTGCACTCGTGAAACTCTCACATTAGTAAAACTGGTGGATGTAAACAAAATAGGTACATTGATTATGAAGAACATTAGAATGAGATCAGGGCTGTGTGTTGGGAGAAAGGGTGATCCAGAGATCTTGCTGAAAAGGGGACACTTAAGCAAAGATGTGGAGTGGGGAGAAGGGAGTAAACCCTGTGAGTGTTTTGGGAGTATATTTCCATACAGTAGAAGTTAAGTAATAGAAGAAACTTTTTGTGCTATTGAGAAGTTAAAATTAGTAACTTCTGGTTATAACCAGTGGTCTCCATTTCAGTTTGGAACCCAGATTTTTAAAAATCCATTAAAATTTTTATGTTTTAGATATATATGTCATGGGTTTCCTACAAAAGTCTTGATTTTCCTGTAAAATCTTGCTGATAAAATGGAGTAAGCTAATAAAATCAAAGCTCGAATTCCACTAATGGACAGGAATTCTATAAAGTTTATATTTATTTTATGCAACAGATAGGTCCCTTGACAAATAGAAATAATATTATCAAGTTTCCTTATTTTAGTCATTTTTTATTAACAGTGAAAAACAAAATCCCTCTCACATTTGTCCTTTATATACCTTTGCTCTTACTTGGTCCAGAGCTGTTCGCTGCATATTGTTGAATCTATATAATTAAAAACTTCACTTAGTCTATTTGCTCTCTTGGAATATTATGGAAGCTATTTTGTTGCATTTTAAATATTTCATTCTTTTTTTTTTTTAATGTTTTATTTATTTCTAGGAGAGAGAAACAGCGTGAGCAGGGGAGGGTCAGAGAGAGAGAGGGAGTCACAGACTGAAACAGGCTCCAGGCTCTGAGCTGGCAGCCAGCACAGAGCCCGACGCGGGGCTCGAACCCACGAACCGCGAGACCATGACCTAAGCAAAAGTCGGAAAGTCGGACGCTTAACCGACTAAGCCACCCAGGCGCCCCTTAAATATTTCATTCTTAAAGGCTTGTTTGACATCATGACAGACTTGTGTTTGTTCATTGAACAGCTTATTCTAGTTACATGATTCTCGACAGGTCACACTAAATCCGATTCTTCTTATAATTAAAACTAAGATAACTGTCTACTACCTCTAGGAACCAAATGAAATACAGATGGATTTGAAATTGGCAAGCTATAATGGCTATCCAGATATTTTGGTATTGTAATATTACTATATAAAAATAACAACAGTGGTAATGATAAGGTTTTGCCAAAAGGTTTAATGAAGAAGAATTCAAACATGGGCTTATATAAAAATTACAAAAGCTCTTCTCCTCTCTGGCCATTTTCCTGATAACTGTACCAAAACCATGACTTTGTTTTTTATAAGGAAGGAAATAAACAAAAAGCCGGTTGCCATGTTGGCTTATGTTCTTTGCAAAACAGAAGGAAGGATGAAAAATAAAATGGGGTTTGCCAAACAGGAAAGGGCACATCTGGTAGGGGAGGCGGGTTATTCTTGAATATATGGAAGATTGTTGGCAAGTTCAAAAGCACAGGGGCATGCCCTTCCCTTGTGTGAGAAAGATAGTGACTTGGTCCTGCCCTGGCCATATTTGCACCACCTTGGAATATGAACTATATAATAGAGCCCAAAGTAATATAACCACGGGAGAAAATTTTGCACTTTTTCCTCTTGGCCCTGGTGAAACTGAAGGTTGCCAAGTCCAAATTATAGCTGGTAAATGTGTGTTTTTAAGTAGAAGTCTGTTTATGGTTGTAGCCAGTTTTTCAGGTCAGAGTCAAAATAACGTCTCCTAAGTATGACTATAGAATTATAAGATATTCAGAGCTGAACGGGAGCTTAGGGATTATTTAGTCCAACCGTGGTGTCAGCCATTAGTTAACAGCCTCTTCAGGGACTCACTGAACAGATGAATTCCTTTTGCAGATGGGGAAACTGAGCCTCATGAAGGTATGGATCCTATCAACCATACTTCATTTTGAGAAACCTTGACTTCCAGATTTGTCCTTCCTGTTGTACCACATGGCCTTGCACATGGTTTTGCTTTAGAGTCTTCCATTAGCCTATAAGACTCTGAGGTTCAGACAACAGGATTATATGGTTTTAATTTGAAGGACCAGGTCCTTTTGGAGTTTTGCTTATGTCCTGAAGTTTTGATACCTGCTACAAACTTTTGTTTTTATTTTTTTGCAAAAGGCAAATACTTCAATTCAAAAATTCTTCTTTTGAGAATTCTTTTTTTAAGAGAAAAAATGGATCTTGGAAATCAAATGGGGGCTTTATCTTTTCTTTTATGTCAAGATCAGTTTGGCCTCAGTACCTGTGAGGTTTGGAGTTAGCATTTCATTCATTCCTTTATTCTTCATTCACCCATTACAAATTGAGTAACTTCTGTAAGTCAGGCACATATTCTAGGGATCATAGCTTTAGAATTTGACATCATGGGTCTAGTGCTCTGACTCTCGACCTTGGAACTGTGTAATGTTGTCCTAATCTGATGCTACGGTTGTTCATTTCTTCTAATTTCAGCCAGCTAATGGGCACATCTACAGCATTGCTTAGAGTAGTTTCACGGGAGGAGAGTAACTCATAGAAGTTCAGGTTTACAAGGGAATTAGAGGTAATACTTCAAGTTCCTTTCTTTTGTTTGGATCTCCTATTTTTTTTTCTAGTTTAACAAAATATTTATGGGTGACTATTGCAGGTGAGATGATGTTGAAAGATCAGGAGATGGATCACATATAGTACCTCCGAATCAAGTTTAGGAGTTGTACGCAAAGACAGCTTTTAAACTATTGTGTTCCATAGTGAATTATTTCTGAGTCATAATGCTCTGATCAGAAGCACAAGCTAAGTCCTAAGTTGTGGTAGAGGGTGGGAGAAATGAATTGACAAACTGGAGATCTACAAGAAGGATTCTTGGAAACAGTGTCAATTGAACCAAGCTTTGATGGCTGGGTAGGACCTTAATTTTCCAATGGAGGGAATAGATCTTTTAGCAATGAAGTAAGAAAAATAATAGCATTGAAGGAGAACACAAAGTAGTGTGCTAGGGCTGCTTGGCCCACTGTGGAATTTGCCCTTTATTCTGAAATCATTGACCATTTACTTCAGGTGTTTGTTAATATTTTAAAGATAAGGGTGACATCCCCATATCTGTTGTTGGATGCCATGTGGTATTTTCTACACACCATCAGGCATGACTTGTTACACTTGTGGGGAACCCCATGCACACAGCTCTGGTACACTTTCTAGAAGTCCTTGGGGACTTGTCTCCTTTTCTTTTCTTTTCTTTTAACTTTCAGCACAGAGCCCCACTCGGGGCTTGAACTCAGGAACAGTGAGATCATGACCTGAGCTGAAGTCAGATGCCTAGCCAACTGAGCCACCCAGACACCCAGGACTTGTCTCCTGATACCTGATGGCTTCACGTTCAAGTGCCTGATATTTAACATCCACTTTTCATGAGATCTTTGCTTGACTTTTCTTCATGACCTCCAGTTGTTATCACCTCACTGCCTCTCTCTTTGTGACCCAGTCCCGTGGCTTGCTTCGACTTGCCCACTCTCCAGAGATCTGTGTACTCCTGATTTTCATCTCCTCTTTTCCGCTCATCCCAGCAGGA